ACTGGGCTGTGCAGCTTTTATGACCTGTGTTGACTTATTATTGTTAAGTGCAAGTAACTAGGCAAAGTATAGGCAGGAAACAAAATCGGTACATTAAACATGATGAACATCTTTTTAACTTTACACAATGACCAATTAGCCAAACGCCTGCAAAGACCTCACGACAGGAGACTCTCTGCTTATTATGCTTCATAATGGCAGAACTACTCCTGATATATTTGCCTAAACATGTTTGTGTTCTATGAAGAAACCAAAACATATTCTCTAGAAGAAGCACCTATTATTTAATCATAAAGAATTAATAATGTTTACTTTATCTAAATGATTCATTACACTGTGGAGCTCTGCTATAACTGCAGATTTATATATATATATATATATATATATATTTTTAAAAAGCCCAAAGGGAGGCGAGAGACAGAAAACCAGGGCAGAGAAGAATCAGAGGAGAAGGCTAATGATACAGATCCTCTTTCTACTGTTGCTTTCCTCTCATCCTTCGACCAAATGCTGACTGAACTACATGCACAATAATTAAAGCTACTAACACACAAACTCCAGTGACTATAGTCAGAGCAACTAATTCCACTGACTATAATTTTATATATTCTTTATTTTAAAAAAAAATCTAAATAGTAACGAATAATCATAATCATGTGAATTATACAAAATAATAAAATACTTAACTCCAAGTGACTATATTTACAGCAAATTCATAAACTACAGTGTCTAAAATTACAACTAGTAATTTAACCAGACTACAAGCTACTAACTAGTTTCTAAACTTAGTCATATAGTAACTTGCATTTCAACACTACAACAACAAATCTCAAATCTTAGCCAATTATTAATTAACTCAAATAAAGCTTTCCACTCACAAAAACTGCATTACTACCAACCAACATAAGTGGTATAATAAATTAAAGCCGATAAAACTGGGACAGAAAGTGAGTCCTGTTGATCTGAAATAAAAATACTTGAAAGAGAAAGAAAGAGAGAGAGAGAGAAGAGAGAGAATTGGTTCCTGGTGTATTCTGGTGCATCGTGCTGCAGCATCATGGGAATATAACAAGCACCAGCCGAGAAGGAGAACCCCGACACACACACATACACACAGACACTCACTCACTCACTCACTCACACACACACACAAACACATACGCACACACTCATTGGGTTTCCACGTTTTATGGGGACTTCCCATAGACATAATTATTTTTATACTGTACAAACTGTTTTCTATCCCCTAACCCTAAACCTACCCATCACAGATAACTTTCAGCATTTTTACATTTTCAAAAAACAAAACAAAACAAAAAACCCATCATAAGCCGTTTTCCTCATGTGGACCAGAAAAATGTCCCAACAAGGTCAAAGATGTCTGGTATTACTATCCTTAAACATTATTACTTACTATTACTTAGACATTTGGTCCCCACAACCAGGGCCGGATTTATGTAATTTATAGGCATTTTAGGAATCTGCCTATAATGGTCACATCTCCACCCAAATACAATGAGGAGGAAATAATATTTATAATAATATTTTAATTATTATTATGATTAGTTCACTCTAATTCTAAAAATCTGTTTATTAACAGATTTAAAAAAAAATAGTTCACTCTAATGCTAAAACATTACTTGGAATGCACAAAAAAAAAAAAAAAAAAAAACATGATTTATGAATATGAACAAGAACTGAGTTATCTGTTTTTGCAAATGAACTTTTCTGTTGTAAATGTCCCAAATGGGAGAGGGTGTGCAATTAAGAGTTTAATTAAACGTTTATGTTATATATTTTGGTTGCATTTGTGAGTTAATAAAAATGTAACTGGTTGTGTAAACTTGGCACATAATATCTAAATATCGATAAATCAATCGATATAGCCCTGAATCGAATCGTAATCGTATCGCAGAATTTTTTGAGGTATCGGCAAATATCGTATCGCTGGCTGAGAGAAACGATATCGTATCGTGATAAACTGTCCGATTTACACCCCTAATTAAGTAAAACCTTTTAAGTCCACCCGCCTCAATCTTGAATAAAGTGCTGCTTATTTTAGACCATCTCTGCTTGTTTGCGATGCAAACGTAAGTTAAGATTGAACAAGTACAGTGTTTTCTTTACTCAAGAAACATTATTTAGAGAGGCTAATGTTTTATGTATTTGAGGAGCAGAGAAGAGTGTCTTGTTTGTAGTGTTTGGGGGGGGGGCCAAAAATTTATTTTGCCTATGTCACAATATTTAGTATTTCCGGCCCTGCCCAAAAATGTAGGGTTTTCCAGGACCACATACACACTCATAAACAAACTCACGCATACTACATATTTTCACATAAATACTATGTACACACTCTCAATATGTACACGATCTAAAACTCACACAATGCCGTATACACAGTAAAAAAAAGAGATGATATAAAAAGACGGTTACATTTTTTCTCTAAATATCTTTCTCTCCTTGTCTCTCATCTTCTGTCTCTAACTCCAAAGGGTTAATGGTCAGTGAAAAGGGGTCACTGTGACATAAAACTCCAGAAACCTACTACAAAGGAGAGAGAGAGAGAGAGAGAGAGAGAGAGAGAGAGAGAGAGAGAGAGAGAGAGAGAGAGAGAGAGAGAGAGAGAGAGAGAGAGAGAGAGAGAGAGAGAGAGAGAGAGAGAGAGAGAGAGAGAGAGAGAGAGAGAGAGAGAGAGAGAGAGACAGATCGTGTATATCTACCGTGCGCTGACTGTTGACCTATTATAGCAGAACAGAGGGAAGGATAGCTCCATATAATCTAGTTAGTTAGTGCATTGGTTAGGGTGCCTGTGATTTAAACCCTGTTGCTGGCAATGGCAGGTGCTTGGTTATGATAGATGCAGATGTCTTTACTCAACTTTCTCTCCGCAAGCAGTCCATTGACTCAACCGTCACTGAGGAATGGTGCCTGCTATTCGTGTACTAGGGTTGTCACGATACCTTCATCCCATTTTATGGTACGACACCTGCTGAAGTGTCACTCTCTAGACATGATACCACTTACAGTGTTTGGATGCATTGTTACTTGCACAAGTTTGCAATGACAAGCAATCTGTCTGTGCGCCCCAAGATTTTTATTTCAATACATTTTTTTGTATCTTTAATAATTAAGGAGTATGTAAAACACTGTGGCAGAAATGACACATTCATGCCTAAATTTGGTCAGTCGAATCAAGTTGCAGATCATTTGCTTAAAACTGAAAACTCTTTCATTATCATTATTTCATTATGCTGATTTGGTGCTCAAGAAACATTTTATCATTATTATCAATGTTGATAACAGTTGTTCATAATAATTTAGTGAAAACCTTAATAGATTTTTTACAGTATTTTTGATGAATAGAAAGTTCAAAATAATAGCAATGTAAATGTCTATACTGTAACATTTGATCATTATAGAAGTATTAATTTCTTTAAAAAAAATCTTACTTACACAAACACACACACACACAAACACACATATATTCTCTGTATAATTACCAAACATGATTAAAAGAAAATGCCAAGCCATGAGAAACACTCATGTGAATGACAAGGAACAGAACTTAAGTGAGTTTTAAAACACTGTAATACTTTTAAACGTGCTTCCATTAACAGCACATGGGTAGTTGACATGAAATACTTCGGGAAAGTTGACATGTCCCGCAATGTGACATGCTATACTCCATTTAAACTATTTTATTCATTGTGATGCATGTTTTATGATCTCATATTAATTCAGGGAAGACATGCAATATTTGGAGTTTAAAAATTCATTGGTCTCACCACAAGACCACTTTAAATGAAAAAAAAAGTGATTAAAATGGTGAAACATAGGCATAAAGTAACAGTACACATTCCCTTACATTTAAATATAGATTTGAAACAAAAATCTTGATGTTAATTCAAAAGAAAAGAAAAAGTCCATGGGCATGTGTCAGCTCCTCACATACTCTTACATATAGACCGTGGGTGGGTTGGAGTGTCATGTGGAATATGCTGTGAATATTCTTACTGAACTATTAATACCCAGCAGCATATCTGGACCAGCACCCCACACGTCTTTCTCTCTCTGTGTTTCTATCTGGTCTGTGTGTTACCGTATTACTGGATCTCTTTCAAATCTCACATGAATGAACTGGATTAATTAAATACCAACATTCCTGAGAGAAATCTCAGAAACACTCCCTGAACCTCAATGGAGTGAGTGTGTATGCTAAAACAGAGAAAATGTATGCATTTATGTAAAAGTGATTATATTTTATATCACTTATATTGGAAGTCACAAAACATTTACAAAGTTGACAGAAAACAGTAAGGAAGAAAAGTATTTTGGCAAATATGTCCTTCTATTACAGCCATTACAACCCAGCATGACCAACTCAACATTCATTGGTCTCAAACATAAAACATCAACTCACAACTCCTCAACTACATGCATCCTACATCCCACTACATTCTTACAGTGGCCCCAAATACTATCTGAACACTTACTGTACACCACACTTAAAAATGTTCCTTGCAATGCATAACAAAAGAGCAAACCATGGAGGCATTTATGTGAATTAAATATAATGCAAATACACTTTTCAAGCAAAAGCATTTCACAAAAAAAGTAGTATTCATGCGTTTTAAATAATAAAACAATAGATGTATTGTTTAAAATGAAGACTAAAAAGTATTTGAATTCATTCTGGTTGTCAAACGTTGGCAAGAAATTGTGATCAGCTATGCCTGTGGTTTCTCTTCTATAACACCTGTGTGACTTCATACATCAGTTTTTTACACAAGCTGGTGCAAAAGTAATTGAAAATTGACTCAGAAAGGTGAAGTTATTTAGCTTTGGCATCATCTGTTTGCAAATGACATTTGGTTTGACATTTTGCAATAACAGTTTGACATCTAGTGCAAAAATGGCATTTCAAAATGTATCCATAAGTCTACAAATACTATTTGGGGTCCCTGTCTCTTTGAGCTTGATATTAAATAAAGCATATTTACCAGGTCTCGTCGTTTTTGAACTCTAGTTCACCGTAGGCGTCCTCAAAGTCCTCTCCGCCGCCCTTAGCGAGTCCCTCCATTGTGCGGAAAGGAATGATGACTGTCCCTCTCGCTCCTGATGTCCGCAGCACTTTCACTTCCATGATGCCCACACTCTCACTTGCGTGCATGGACTCGCTTTCAAAAGTGAAGATGCCTGCGTGGTCATCATCGAGGATGGTAACTGTGGCAACAGCAGGGAATCCTAACAAGGCCTTTGGGTACGGCAGGCTACTGGGCGACAGCACCTCATCCTCGGTCTCCAGGACACGCACATTACTGAGCCGCAGGAAGAAATGCTCGTCCTCCTCAAAGATGTCGTCATCGATGATGCCAACGGCGATTTCCTTGACAACTTCACCAGGTTTGAACACCACCGTTCCCTCCGTGAACTCATAGTCCGCACCGGCATTCGCCGAGCCGTCCTCCGTTTTATAATCCACATAGATTGTATTAGCGATGTCGCCGCCTTTACGCATTATCGTGAGTAGAACAGCCCCGCAGTTCTCTAGACACTGGTAAATGGCAGGCTCGAACACAATACGGGACACAAACTCCTCAGGTTCTTCTACGTGAACTTCTTGAACACTGGTGCTGCGTTTGGCCTGCTCGGCCACATGCTTCTTGAGGATGTTCCCGGCACCTGTCATCATCCTCGTGGCCTGGATACGATAAAACGCTCTGCTTTTCTGTTGGTGTGACAGTGCATAATAGTTGGCCATCTCCACTAGCTGGTCCAGCTCCTTCTCCGGGTGTTTCTGCTTCAGGTCCTTAAGGATACGGATCATATCTCTGCGAGACTCGTCCACCTCCTTGCCCTCAATCAGGCCCATCAAATTACTAGCAGCTCCTCCATCGACAAAATGAGAATTCATCATCTTTCCGTCCATTTCGATGCCTTTGGAGCGGTCACCCTCCGTCTCGATAATGACGCCTCTATGCTTGTCCGTGCGATATTTCTTGTGCATGAACTTGTAGAAGAGCAGGCGACGGTCAGCAACCCACGCCAGAATGACACAGATGGGGAAAAACGCCAAGGTGAGAAGCCCTTCCCATACTTGGACTACGTTGGGCGAGATGACGGCCAGGATCATGTAGAGCCAGATGTAGGCAAACACGCTCCATGCCGCCGTCACGAAAAACACACGCAGGTGTTTCACCTTCCGGACCTCCCCCTCCGGGATCACTGACACGCACAGGCCGATGATCACAAACATGTTGAAAGCGGCACTGCCTACAATGGTGGATGGGCCGAGTTCACCGGCATGGAAATCGTGTCCGCACACTTCGATGACGGAAAGCATGATCTCAGGGGCGGAGGAGCCCAACGCCATGAGCGTGAGGTTGGACACGGTCTCGTTCCACACACGGATTGTCGTAGTTGTCGTCTCACCATTCGGACGCTTGATGATGATTTCCTTCTCCTGGGAGGTGATTACCTCAATGGCAGCCATGAAGCGATCTGCAATAATCGACACCCCCAGGAACATGTAAATCATTGCCACGAAGTACACAATGACCCTCGCGATCTTGTCACCCATGGAAGGGTCCTCGGGGTACCAGATGGGTAAGATGATGCCAGGTTGGCATCGACCCGTATCCTCGAAGCATGCGGTGGTGTTCAGGGGGGGCGGGCTTGGCGTGACTCGCGCCTCTGCACAGAGGAAGGTTGCTGCCACGGAGACCACTCCCAACCAGAGGTAGGCAGAAGTCTTTGTCCTTAAGCGATCCATGCACCCTCCTTCACCTCAAGGGTCTGTGATCTCTAGCTGTCCTTCGGGAATCCAGCACTGGGCTGTCTTTGGTTCCACACGCCACCTATGACAGAAGAAAAGCAGATAGTGAATCAGAGAAAGAGAAATCGGTACTTCACACCTTCCTAATGGCAGAAGAAAGACACCTGACATCACTGGTCGGGAGTATGAACAGTGCAGATGTAATGTAAGCAAACTCATCTGAGAATTCTGCAAATAAACCCATTATTCTTTGCTAGATTTGTGAGCAGTGCGTATGTGATATAATATGGTGAAACACTAAAGGTCCACACAGCAGAAAGCTAAAAGGCCTCACTCAGCAGGTGTGAATGTTGCCAGAATAAGCAATGTCCAAAATGACGCACTGGGAAACATCAACAACAGCGCAAGGGCAGCGTGCTGCTCCGTTCCAACATGCTTCCTATTGAGGCAGCATTTTCAGGCTCCTGTTTCAAAAGCTAAATTAATAATGCAGTCTACCTTTTTTTGGCAAATACTGGCAAAGCAACTGGCTCGCCCTCAGAGGAAAAAAAGGCCAAGATGGTGGAAGTTAAATAAATACTGAAAAGAATTGAGAAAAATGGTTTAGGGTAATAATAAAAGGATTTTCCTATCCATTTTTTTTGGTGCATTTATTTATAGAGTAGACTGCTGTTAGATTAGCAACATGTTAACACCAGTCTCTATTAAAATAGTTAAATAATTTAGAGTGGGAGTGCTACAGTATGTGTGTGGCACCCAGAATTGCTACCCATGTAGAATATTACAAACCAGATAAAGGGACAGTTCACCCAAAAATGGAAATTCTGTCATCATTTACTCACCCTCATTTCATTCCAAACCTGTATGACTTTCTTTTTTCTGTGGAACACAAAATAAGATATTTTGAAGAACTTCTGATGTACAGAAGAAGGCATATCATAGAGGTTTAGAATGACATAAAGGTAAGTAAATGATGACAGGATTTCCAACTATCCCTTTAACTAAGAGGTTACATGATGGTTAAAATGCCGCCAATGTAGGCAGTGAGGCGGCTCACTAGGTTGTGTAACAGAGCTGTCTGTTCTGGAAATGATATGTGTGCAGGTTTCACCCAGAGAGCTGGGAATAATTAACTAATATGGACACAGATTATTTCATTACATTTTTATCCCACTGCACCAGTGGAGATGACAGTGTGCATGTGGGAGTGTGTGGGAGCAGCTCTGGTGAATCCACATGGAGATGGAGGTGGTGTGTGTGCAGTTTATTTGCTCTCTCTAACACAGGAACACACTCAGAGAAACTCTGCATTGCTCAGGGGTTGCTCTTTGATAACTGATAATGGATGTCTCATTTAACTATCAACCAGGGCTTATGTTTCTTATCAAATTCCTTAGGAGAAATAAACATTTGACTCAAATATACTACCTTTGAAAAGTCTGGGGTTAGTAAGATTTTTTTTAAAGAATATTTTATTAGTAGTACTTTTATTTAGCAAGTATGCATTACATTGATCAAAAGTGGCATTTATAATGTAAAAATATTTCTATTTAAAATAAAAGCTGTTCTTTTGAACTTTGTGTTTTATCCTGAAAGTTTTTTTCACTGTTTTAAAATGTATCAGGCGGACCACGCATTATAGAATGTATTAAATGCAGACTTTGGTCTCTTGGCAAATATAATCATAGTCTCTAGAGAAGAGAGACATCTTAATTTGTCAAAGTCTGTATTTAATCTTAATTCTTCCTTCCTCCAAATTAAAGAACCACTAGACTAAAAAGAACCAATAAGTAACCAAAATCATTAAATATATTCCTGCAACTAACAGTTAGGAAGTAGTTTAACTATGTTGCATGATCAAACCCCCAAAACTCATACACCAAAAAGATGTTGCAAGAGAGATGCAGGAACATAAGTGGACTATGCAAGAGCCATCAGGCCAGACCTGATTATATTAAGTAAATCAAACACTCTCACACTCACACATATGCAGTGGGCTGTAAGTAAACAGCACAGTGTAGAAACAGAAGGCCTAATGAGGGAAAACTGTTTTGTAAAGCAAAAGAGCCCAGCCTGAAGCCTTGAGCTTCCTTCTTCCAAATACGATCATTTTGAGCTTCTGGTACGATACTTGGATATTTCCAATCTGGCAACACCGCTAACACCATTTTTCACAGCTGTTCGTTGTTTTAGTTAATCATCACTGTGTATTGAAGGGGCTGTTTACACACCATTTTCAACTAAAAATGTAAACATTTTTATGCGTTTTGGCCGTTCATTTACACGACGGCGTTTTGGGTAGGTGAAAACGCAAACTTTTGAAAACGGATTTCAAAGTGCAAGTTTTTGAAGTCTTCGTGTAAACAACAAAAACGCGAATCTCTGAAGACGATGACGTCATGCACATGCCTATTATGTGTTTAGTCTATAGTGTTTCATCGCCATTTAATGGCCTAGCAGCAGAATACAGCATTTTTTTTCTTTTCCGTGGATCCGTGTGAGAGCAAAGGTTTTTTTAAAACCTTCACATGGACTACTTTGATGATCTCTGTATTTCCTTTCTGGACAAGGACAGTATACCGTACATACATTTTCAAAGAAGGGACAGAAAACTCTCAGACTAAATCTAAAATATCTTAAACTGTGTTCCGAAGATGAACGGAGGTCTTACGGGCATTAATGACATAATTTTCATTTTTGGGTGAACTAACCCTTCAAGGCAGCATAAGTGCTTACGTTTTAAGTTGAAACAAAACAATTTTTACAGTGCATTTTATTTCTTCACCATGTCCCTTTAGGGCCTCTGTAATTTATTAATTTTTTTTTTTTTTTTTTTCATCAGATACCATCCATATTGAAACGAAATGAAAGCATACAGAAGATTGGTGCACACACGGAAAAGAATTAGAATAATACAACATCAGCAATCACAGACATTTGCAATCGGAGAAGATTAGATTTCTCAGAGAACTGTTGAGATTGGCAAAAAAAACAGTAGGTAATTTGCGCCTGAATTTTTACAGTGATTATATGAGGAAAAACACAGACTTGGCGGATTTGGACTGGATTAAAATCATGTCGATGAAACATGAATTTCTCTAACGTCCCCCTGGAAAACTAGTCCCGTCCCGAATATAGGGCTTTTGATAACACTAATACACTTTCATTTTGATTACATAATAATGTCAATAAATAGCCCTTTGGCACCTGTAGTCTAGATACATTTTTTTAGAATCAATTAAGGTTAGTACCCAACAGACCAATTAAAAAACAGTTCAGAGATGCTTTATAAATTGTATTTAATACAATGTTTTCATAGTTTGTGTTGTTCCTCATCAATGTTCCTCATCAATGCAGAGTTATCACAAAATGATAAGCAATTAAACTCCAATTTGCCTAAGGCGTTTCCAAACTTTTGAAGAGCACTGTGTGACATTTAAAGGGACAGTTCAGCCAAAAATTAAATACGGCCATCATTCACTCACCCTCATGTTGTTTCAAACCAAATCCGAACCCAAAAGATGATATATTTGAAGAATGTTGGGAATCAAGCAGTTTTGGTTACAATTGACTTCTATTGTATGGACAGAAAAACACATTGAGACATTTCTCAAACATCTTTTATGTTGTTTTTTACTAAATTTTTTTTTTTTTTTTTTGAGCAAACTATCCCTTTATCTTGATGAGTCAAAATTATTTATTGTGGTAATTGACTGCTGTTGAAAGAACTGTTATGAATCTGACATCTAAATACCGTATGGGTACAGAGATGCTTCAACACCATGCCGCAGTGGTCTACCATACATCTAAGCACAATGTGTGCCTGTAATTGAGAAGAAGTTCTGGAAGTAGCAAGCCAATTGATTTTGGGTGATTATGATTTAGACTGTGTGTGTGTGTTGTGATGTGAAACCCACTATTGATAAGTTAGAAGATGTGGGGAAAAATAGTCACAGCAGGTTGTGGGAGATAGTCTGGCATAACTCTAATTTACTACAGACACACTACTACACACACACTCACACACACACACAGACACAATATTGTCTGTGTCGATGAGTTGTAACCTCTCTTCATCCTTAGCCGTTACTTAAGACACTAAAACAGGGATTCTCAACTCTGGGCTTCGAGATTCCCTTTCCTGCAAAGTTTAACTCCAACCTTAATCAAACTCACCTGCCTCTAAGTTTCTAGTAATCCTGAAGACCTCCTTTAGCTTGTTCAGGTGTGTTTGATTAGGGTTGGAGTAAAACTCTGCAGGACACTGCACCTCGAGGGCCAGAGTTGAGAAGCCCTGCACTTGAACATGTCCCTCACACTTACAGGTCAGGCATCAGCAAACAATCCCAAACAACAACATTTAAAAGCTTTGAAACAAGCTGCTCCTCTGAGAACGTAACCAAAAGTATGTGTGTCTGAGGTGGCGCTGTGTAGCATTATATCCGAATAGCCGCTGAGTGTCTGAAGCTAAAGATCCGTCTTTTCCCTGCACATGAAGTCAGCACCTGTTACCATAGCAACACCCTGGAACGCGTGGGACAGGAATATTTTTCTCTGAAATCATGCTCATAAAAATCAAACAAATCTCGGATGTGTATGCGTTTTGAGCCCAGGCGAGGGTATCTGCTCATCAGAGAAACTGAATCTCATCCACTGGACCACAGTGACCAGACAGTTTATTTACTGCAAAACAACCAAACTATAACATCAGTGCATAGTGAGCATCACATGCAGTTGAAATGATGTTACTGTTGTTTCACTACTTCTGCTGAATTTATATACATGCAAATGCACAAGCATTTACATAGAATTTTTATTTTTCACTGCTTAGCAAAGTTAAAAAATGTATAGGAACTACTTTTGACAAAAACAGGATCTAAGCCTCACAGATTGACCTCTTGACTGAAAAATCTCCAACCCTGGAAACATATTTTGGTGGTTTCATATCAATACAAATTTAAAAGATATACAGTAATAACTACATATATTATGAAGACAGTAAGATTTTTTAAATAAATGAATACTTTTATTTAGTAAGGACACATTAAATTGGTAAAAAAAAATGACAGTAAAAACGTTTAG